TCTGGATATGATATTAAATGATGCAGGAAGTGTTGACAGTCTGTGCAAAGAATCAGAAATCACTGTACTAAAAGGAATTGGTTACTGATACTCAGGCATTTCAGGAAGTAGCATCTGATGAATGTTAATGATAATGATGAAAGAAACCAAATGGTATTGAAGAACCAATGGGGGAATTGATACAGTACCTGTTGAAGTGATTCTAAAAGCACATACAGCACTGGAGGTGCTCACTCATATATTACAAGAAATTTGGAAAACATCTACTTGGCCAGCCAACTGAGAGAGATCCATATTTCTGCCCATTCCAAAGAAAATTATTCTAAGAATATGGAAATTTTATGCTAATTCCATTAATAAGACATACAAAATCTTGGTGAAGATAAAAAGTGATGGAAGTGCCCTTATTTCCAGAAATTCAAGATGGATTGAGAAAAGCCCTTGGAATTAGGAATGCTGCTGATGTCTGATGGATCTTGGCTGAAAACAAGGAATATCAGATAGATATTTAGTGGTGTTTAGTGACTGTACAAAGATTATTATTCAACTATGTAGGTATTACAAACTATAACATTGAGAATGAGAAATTCAGGGTGCTTTACTCTGCTCATGCAAAACCTATACATAGACCAAGAACAGTTACTAAAACAAGGGAACACTGCATGGTTTAAATTAAGGGAAGGTATGCGTCATAGTTGTATTTTTTTATCATACCTAGACTCATCAACAACGTGCATTTTGCAGATGACACAACTTTGCTTGCTGAAAGTGAGGAAGACCTGAAACACTTGCTGCAGAAGATCAAGGACTACAGTCTTCAATATGGATTACATCTCAAAATCAAGAAGACACAAAAATCTTTACCACTGGACCAATAAGCAACATCATGATAGAATGGACAAAGACTGAAATTGTTACTCTTTCATCTTACTTGGCAATCAGCACCGTTAGTACCAGCACACAGATCAGGAGACATAGTCAATTGGGCAAATCTGCAAGCAAACCTCTCCAAATAATTGAGGAGCAGTGATGTTAGTTTGGAGAGTAAAGTGCACTGGATTCAGGGTATGTTTTTTCAGTCACTTGCTGTGTGTTTAAGAACTAGACAATGAATAAGGATGACAGAAGAATTAATTCCTTTGAAATGGGGTATTGGAGAAGAGCACTGAATATACCATGGACTGCCAGAAGAATAAACAGGTATGTTTTGGAAAAAGTGCAGCCAAAGTGCTTTCTGAAGGCAAAGGTAGCAAAGCTTTTATCACAGATACTTTTGGCATGTTGCTAGGAGAGGCTGGCTGTTGCTTGGAAAGGAACATCATACTAGGAAAGGTGGAGAGTATGTGAAGGAAAGGACAACCCTCAACAAGATGGATAGACACTGACTGCAGCAGTGTGCTTAAGGGTGTCAGAGGTTGTGAGGATGGCACAGGATAGACAGGGCTCAAATCTCTTGTTCACAGGGTCACTATGAGTCATACCCGACTTGAAGGCACCTAACAACAGTTTGTCTGTGTGCTAAGCAGGTGATCCAAGAAGCTACACTATATGGAGAACATAACATCGGGGTTGAAAGAAGATGCATCAACACCTTGCAATATGGTGATGAAATAACCTTGCTAGCTGAAAACAAGGAAGACTTGAAGCACTTACTGTGAAAAACATGTAATGGTATCGATCACATCTCAACATAAAGAAAAAATATCCTCAGAAGTTAATTCTGTAAGCTAAAGAAACGATTGAAGTTTCAGAGGTTTTTTTTTCCCTTTGGATCTGTATTCCGCACCCATGGAAAGATCCTCTTTCAAGTTCTAAAGCGCAGAGATGTCATTTGGAGAACTTAGATGTGTTTGCCCAAGTATTTTCAGTCTCTTTTTATGTGTGTGCAAACTGTATTGTGAAAAAATAGAAGACTGAAGAAGAGTTAATGCCTTTGAATTGTATTGACAAAAGAATGTTAAATATAGGTAAACACTTAATGAGATAAATTGTCTGCAAAAATATGCTTATGTTCAGGAGTACTTAGAAGGATGATGTGTACCCGTCAGTTTCCTTTTTTAATACATAGGGTCACTGAATCAGAACCAGCTAGATGGCACCTAACAAAAACAACATGCTAGAATACCACCATCCCTGGGCTCAAGAATTTAACGTGTTAACTAACACTACAGAAGTTAGAAAATGAGAGAGATCTTTAGTTTGGATAGATTTAGAAAACAAATCATCAAAAATAATTGTTGCTTTTGAGTTGATTCCTTCTCATTACAAGGCAGGGTCCATCAGAATAGAGCTGTGTTCCAGTGACTGTGTTTCAGAAAGCATATTGTCAGGGTTTTCTTCCAAGGAGCCTCTGGTTGGACTTGAACCTATAACCCTTTGATTAACAGCAAATTGAACTTTTGTAATAAAGATCGAGTTTAGCTGTGTTGTTATTTAGTGTAAGTCAAGGTCTGACTAGTGATTATCTTATGTAACAAAACCTTAAATAGAGAACTGCCGGAAGTGCAGGCTGGGTTTAGAAGGGGTCGTGGTAGTAGGGATATTGTAACTAATGTTAGCTGGATCTTGGTTGAAAGCAGGGAGTACCAGAGGAATGTCTGTCTGTGCTTCATTGATTATGCAAAGGTGTTTGACTGTGTCAGTCACAACAAACTGTGGCTGACTCTGAGAATTCCAGAACACTTGATCGTGCTAATGTGAAACCTATACTTGGACCAAGAGGCAGTCATCAGAACAGAGCAAGGATGCACTGCATGGTTCAAAATTGGGAAGGGTGTATGGGAGGCGAGGCTGTATGAAAAGTGTGGCATAAGGATTAGTGGAATATTCATAAACAGTCTGCTTTATGCAGATGACACAACCCTGCTTGATGAAACTAAAGAGGACCTGAAGTGCTTTCTACAGAGGGTCAAGGACTGCAGCCTTCAATATGAATCGAGGCTCAATATCTAGAAAACAAAGATTCTCACCACTGGGCCAATTGGCAGCATCAGGATGGATGGTGAAGAAATTGAGATTGTTTGCAGCTTTAGTTTGCTTGGCTCCAGAGTCAACACTCTTGGCACCAGCAGCCAGGAAATTAAAAGAAGTATTGTGATGAGAAAGTCTGCTGTAGGGACAAGCAATGGTGTCATTCTGGAGATTAAGGTGCATCTGATACAGGCCATGGTCTATGCAATCACTGACTATGCATCAGAGAGCTGCACAATGACCAGGGAGGATAGAAAGAGAATTCATGCCTTTGAGCTGTAGTGTTGAAGAAGAGGATTGAATATACTGTGGACTGCTAAGAAAACATACAGGTTTGTCCCAGAGAGATTTAAATCAGGCTGCTCCTGACACTTTGTCTGACATACTTTGAACATGTTGCAAGGAGGGACCAATCCTTGGAGAAAGATGTCATGCTTCGGAGGGTGGAGGGACAGCACAGGAGGGGAAGACCCTCTATGAGGTGGAGTGATTCGGTGACTGCGCTAGGGGGGGATAGGTGTGTTGGAGACAGTGAGATTGGCACAGGACAGAGCAGGGTTTAGGGCTGTTGTACATAGGGGTCGCTATGAGTCACAGGCGACTCGATACAACAACAATCCTGTACTGTCTTTCATAATAGAATCTTTTTACCTTTCTCCTTTTTCAGTCTTGAGTTTTGTTTGACTTTGGTCTTATTTTTGTATTCTAAAACATCTCAAATTCTTTTTGTTTAATTTGTGAAACTGAGGAATAAAGCTGTTTTTCACCCAAGACAGATGAACACAAGTTATACTGTTAACTATCAGACCTTGTGCTTTGTGAAAGGCATGATTTTGATAGTTTTCAAATAAGTTTCAACTTTTTCATATAAACTAGAGTAATTATAAAGTCTCATAATATTACTAAAGATTTGTTGTCCTGTCATGCTGAAATTAGATTTGTTGTTGTTATGTGTTATTGAGTCACTTGGGACTCACAGCGACCCTGTGTACAACATCCCTAAATCCTGCTCTGTCCTGTGCCAGTCTCACTGTCTCCGACATACCCACCCTGATTACCTCAGTCACTGAATCAGTCCACGTCATAGAGGCTCTTCCCCTGCTGCACTGTCCCTCCACCCTCCCAAGCATGACATTGCTATGTATATAAAATTATTGTTAAGCTAAATAATTCTAATTATTAGCATATAGAAAGCAGTTCTGACGGAAGATATCAGTGTGGTTTGTAACCAGCAATAGATTTCATGAATGACTTGCTCAAGCCTTGAGGAATTATTAAGATTTAGGTAGACAAGAAAAGCCAGGCATAGGAAGTAACATGGACACTTAAGAGCACATAATTGAAAAAATGCCAGGTAAAAATGATGTATGTCTATCTACAGTCCAATCTAATTGGAGCCAGACAGTCTAATTAAGCCAGAAGGGATGGGAGTGACTCATGATCTTATGTTCTCCATCCTCATTAGAACAGTAACTGTATCCAAACAATTTAACCTACTGGTGAGCTGAAAATGCTGGTGTATTGATTGGCCAGCAGTCATTCAGGAACGTATCATTTGCTTCCATACTTCGAACATCCAGTACTTCAACCACATTTTGTTTTTCATCATGTGCAACCTATCCAAAGTATTTCTAATTTATTTCATGTTCTCGATCCTGCAGCAGAAGAAATCACAGCTGTGAAAATATAAATATTTTTAGCAAGTAGATAGTTGTTGAAACAAGGTGGATTTTTGGTAAACTGTAAACAGTCATATTTTTTAATGTATGTTTTTGGCAGATAGTGTTGGTGGTTAGGGTGGTAGGTTCTTTTTTAGGGGGTGGGCTAGTGGAAACAGAAGTGGCATCCACTTCCTAAATAACATGCCTTTGGAAACTATGAAGTTGGATAAATGTCGATAGTTGTATAGGCACTTCAGGCCTTTTGTTCATAAAGTCTCTATGAGTTGTGCTTAACTCAAAGGCAGTCAAAAACAACAGTTTCTTTTAAAGTGATTTCCACTAAGACTAACACTATAACTTCTTTTTCAGACTGCCCTGGCACATTTAGAGTCTCTTGCAGTGGATGTGGAGGTGGCCAATCCACCAGCTAGTAAAGAAAGCATTGATGGCCTTCCAGAGACCCTTGTTCTTGAAGACCACACTGGTAAGGGAAAAATTGAATGCATGTATTAAGTGGCACATTACATGTTCAAGTATATTACTAGTGTTGATTATTGTTGATAGTATTAGGTAATGGAATGCTGTAGAATAAAAACTTTGAGCAAAGTTTGTTTACCAACTAAATTCTGACAAACTCCAACTAACCTTATAGAATAATATTCTTATTATAGGATGAGGCAAATTCTATCCGTTCAGTTCCTTAAAAAATAAGTAAATAATTTCTGATAAAAGCAAACTTAGCCAATTAGTAAAAAATATGATTTTATTTTCTTTCATATTATAAGTTAATG